CCAACGCACGTGCTCGGGGCTGAACGGGTCGAGATCTTCTCAGGAGGCAGAGTCTCTTTCGTTGCAAATCTCGCGAGAGGCGCCTCTTGATTTTTTCGTTGGAGTCGTCCGGAGGGGAGGTGAAGCCCGGCTTTAGAAGGACTGTAGGGAGGGCGCTTCGCCGAGTTTCCAAGGGGCGGCTCGTCTCACCTTTTGGCGGGGCGGGGGGCAGCGACCGGGGGTTTCCGTGGTGCTGCAGCGTATAAAAAGGGGAGGGGGGAAAGGGAGATTTTGTGGCCCAAGAGGCTGGGGAGTCCCGGTATCCCAGTGGACGGCGACCCGGGTCTCCTCGGTCCCACTTTTGGATTGTTTTTGCTCTCGTCTCCTTAGCTGAAGGCCGGGCATATGCTTGTTGTCTTGCGTTGATTTATCATCGCCCCTTTGTTTTGTACAAGTCGATTCGACATACCTGGTGGTGAGCTGGGTTGGGCAGAAAGCGTATGGCGTTGGAATAGAATTCTTTATTGGCCAAGTGTGTTTGGACACACAAGGAATTTAGTCTTTGCTGTCAGCGTAGATAAAAAGACAAGATACATTCGTCAAGAATCATAAGGTACAGCACTTAATGATAGCCATAGGGTACAAATAAGCAATCAGGAAACAATATCAATATAAATCATAAGGATGCAAGACACAAAGTTACAGTCATGCAATCATAAGTGGGAGGAGATTAATAGTAATAGTAATGCAGCCTTAGGGAATGGTTTGACAGTGATGAGGGAATTATTTGTTTAGCAGGGTGATGGTGATGGGCGGGCGGGGAGACTGTTCTTGTGTCTAGTTGTCTTGGTGTGCAGTGCTCTATAGCATTGTTTTGAGGGTAGGAGTTGAAACAATTTATGTCCAGGATGCGAGGGGTCTGTAAATCTCCACTGAAGTTTCCAGTGACACCATAGAAAAATTGGTAGCCTGTCTTATTTGTTTGATACTGTAATTGCATTTATGTTCTCCTTCAATCCACCGATCTGAGCATTAACCCAACACTCCTGATTTACCAAACTCACACTATGCTTTCACGGGTTTCCTAAATAGTGCATATTTGGATGTGATTTGTATTATTACCATCTCTGCACCTTCGTTATACAAACATACAAGGCAATCAATGTACAATAATCTTGTGAACCAACTGAGGTTCACAAGATTCTGTCTTTCTGTCTTCTTTTTCATTCAAGGAAGAAAGACTGCTGTTTGCAGTATTTGTCTCCAAATTCAGTCCCCTGTTTTCTTCAAAGTAAAAGGGGTTGAATTAAATATCGTAGTCCAAATACATTTGTAAGTACCCTTATAGTGAGGGCCAGGTAGGATGGGCAGATATGCCTTCTTTGATCAGTGGAAAGTGAAATACCAGGGGAAAGGTGTTCGTTTGTTTTTTAGTTGGGAGTTGCAAGTAAATGCAATTCTCAGAATTAGTTGTGTAGTAAGATTATATTATATATTGTTATTGCTGAGAATATTTCATAGGTCTAAAGCAGAGTACACCTGTACTGTTCTTCCATCTGCTAGCACATGTTATTTTTCCATGTGAAATTGTTAAGCATGTGAAGTCATGTTTGGACAGCTCAGTTTCAAGTGTTGTGTAAGATCTGCTATTTTCCGTCGCCAAAGGGAATTATTGTTGCTTGTATAAACACCATTTTAGGGCTTGTAATATCACAAAACTTAATGATATTCAAGCTCATTATTATGCAGAGAAAACGGGAATAAATTGGGATATAAACAGGCAATGTTCACAGAATCCAAAACTATCCAGTGTATGTATGGTCTCTGAAATAGCTTCACTTAAGCTTTATATTCAATGAAAGAATAATCAAGGTGGTAAAAATTACCACTCTCATCTATACATGCTTCAGTAGGGTTGCTTTGGGCTCTGAATTAATATGTAGTTCTAAATGGAAAGAAGCTTTTCAAAGTAACAGTCCTCGAGTTTGACTCTGAGTAAAACATACACAGTAGTGGGACTTTGCTAAATCATTTCTTTCTGAGGTTTTGAAACATTTAAGTCAGTCCATTCCATCATATGTATGAAAAAAGACCCCAGATTCCACAGGATGGCTTTGGGTGCATTATACAATACAGCACTGTAAATCGTGGTTAGATTGTGTTATTAAAGCAATTATCTTGTAACATTACAGATGATTAAAATGTTATATTCTCCATAGTACCGTATATGATCCAGTTATTTAATTCTCAGTTTCTCAGTTGTAATTAAAATGAGACTAGACTCACAAGTAGATAGTTGCCATCTTGTATTATTATGCTTGGAGAATAGTAACTGATTTTGCTTCTCCCATTGCTTTTCTAAGAATCAGGCATCAGGCCCAATATTTGGGATTTTTGAACAATGTAACTTAATTTTATTCTGGACTACAGAAGTTTGGCAAAAATGTGTGTGTGCTGCTGTTCGGATCCAATGAAGCTAGATAACAAAAGCATTATGGGGAAATGAAGCAAGATTTTAATTCCAAGAGGATGGGGCATCTGAATCTTACACAGTAATAAAGTGGCCTATTGTGTCATCCAGAGAAAAAGTGCTTTCACAACCTAGTAGAAAACATATACTAACCTCCCCGCCCCCTCAGGGAATATAACATGTTACCTAGACCAATAGCACATTCATATTATCTGATTTCAAGTTGAACTTCCTGGCCATATCCATTCTTGAATTTACTCCTGACATTGATGTATTACTTCCACTGTTTCTCTAAAATTAATAAACAGAAATAAACAGCTGCATATGCATAGTGTTGGTACTTCATTTAGAAGCCTTACAAGATGATTAATGTGATTAATGTTATGATGCATGCTCACCCTTACTACTAATACTACTGCAATACTATGGTTCATAGTGCTGAAAGCCATCAGAAATTTCAGGATAATGTTCACCTACCTTTAAATTTCAAATTTAAATTTCAAATTTCTTGGCTCAGATTATCCACTACAGTGAACAGGACAGTTTTGAAACTCATCTACAAATCAAATTATAGCACATCTAAATAATCAGTTTCAACCTGGAAATGAAATTTAACTTGTGGTCATATATACCAAGATGACATTTTTTATTTTAAAAAAGAATACATTTTTATATTGTCTATTTTTTTAAAAAAAATCTTTTTTTTTTATTCTTGTATGTTACAGCTTTAAGTTCTGTCTTGCTTTAAGTTCTGCCTTAAGTATTCGGGAAGTGATTAATACAGATGCAGGAATCTTTGCTGATTTTCTAACGAACCTGGTTATTTTGGATAGGTTGCTGTATTACCATTTGAAGAGTAACTATATTTATGCTCCACAGACCACCTAGATAAGCTCCAAATGTTTGTTAGTGAGCAGGCAAAACTGAAATACGCCAAAAAGCTAATGTCTCACCTGCTAAATGTCATTAGCTTCTCCCTCCCCCTCCCCACATTCTTTTTGAATATGTAATGTTTTTATGCTTGTGCTGTAATTCATTCCAAACATTCTACATATGATCACCATACTATTTCAGTTATTCTACTGTGTTGCCTTCTTAAGGGAGGGGTGATGTAAAAATTGTGTTGAACGAGAATAGCGCAGTATCATAACACATTTCATTGTTTTGATATGCTTTTGTTTCTCGAAAAGAAAATTCAGTTACATTTTACTGTGATTGCAAGTCTTGTACCACAGTCAAATGGTATTGATTATAGTATTAGCTAATAAAAGTTATTTTCTAGAACAAAGTATGGGTGGATCACATCAATTCACATTATAATCTGAATATTGTATAAATCATTATTTTTCCAAAACAGACTACTGCTAATTCTGGAACATTTTTAATTTTCGTAACCATTTTAATTAATGATGTTAATAATTAATTACTTATGTCTGTAACGATGTAGAAGCACAGAAATTCACAAGCATTTTAGTCAGACAAAACATTTGCTAGAGTACAGTAGTTGTATATTAATTTGGTATCTTAAACTGAAAAAATATTCAGAGGGAAATAAAGACTGAAATATTTGCCTGCAAAGGATGTGCATGAAGAAAAAGAAATTCTTTTAAATACAGAATCCTTGTGCTCTGGTGGTTCTGATTATTCAAATTGGCAATGATTCAGCAGCATTGAAACCTTAAACATTTTGCATTGTTGCACATTCTGCCTAAAAAATCCCAAGGGACTCCAGAGTGACTTTGTACAGAGTGATTTTATGCAAAAAGCACGACGCTGATGCAACACAAAATGTTTCTCTAGATTCCGCTATCAATTTATTTGACTCCAAATAGCCACATGGAGGCTCTGTAGGCTCCCCATCTGTATGCCATCTCCAGGGAAACAACCAGGATCTGCTCATCCCTATTGCCATGGCAACTGAACTCCAACTCACAATCCCCTCATCAATATACTCTTCTGCCAGCCTTCCCATTGCTATGCAAAAAGAATGGATCAGCAGCCCACTTGGGCAATCAAGGGCTGGGTTGAGACTAACAATGCAGGTTCATATTTAAAATTGTGTCCGTTAGAAAACAGCTGTGCCTGTGAAATTTTAGAAATGAGGGTAGAAATGGTGATCAGTAGTTTTTATGTTGACAGACTTTGACTTTCACATGGGCCTAAGGCTATTAGGCAGTGGTTTCTATTCTGTTCCTACTCTGTCCAGTTTTTCCATCTATGGATGTGGCAAAATAAATATTGCAAAAGTAAGGAGTTAATTTCATACTGAGTCATGAAGATATAGTAATTGAAGATTAATGAAAGCCAGTCACTAAAGAATAATGGATTTCATCCCTTTCCATCTGTATCTCAATACAGTTTTTATGCCCATTGTGTTCTGCCACTATAGTACACACAAGTTTTATGGAGTGCATAAAGATAAAAACTAATTTCAGGTGTTATGTAAAAGCAGCTAAAATATTAATTGGAAAGCTTTCAGAAGCCATCTACCTGCTTTTTGAAGTTCATAGCAGAGCCTGACTGTTCTGTGCCATAGACATTTGACCCCATGTTGCATTTTTTTAAAAAAAAAATACTGTGGAAATGCATTTAGAAAGTTAGATACTGTATAGATAACCATAAAGATCAGTATATGGATATTGTATGATGGGTCATATCTTCAGTTTCAATAAATAGAAATATATGGTGGCATTTCAGTAACTTGGATGATTAAATGTCATTTTCAGTATTAATACATTGAACAGAAGGCTCATCTTCTGCTTTAATTTTGCAGAAATGTGTTTTTTCTCTATTGCCTTACTGGGCCAGCATATTAGGAACAATCTACAAATCATGCTCAATCTGTCTTCTGCTCAAAGAAAGGCACCTATGAATTTTACATGAACGTTTTAATAGCTTGTTAAGATATATGAAATATTAAATATAAAACAAGTATAATACAACAGTACAGTTAAGCTCCAAATGACCATTGCTTCGCAACAGTATTCTAATGCAATGGAAGTGCATTTAGGAAAGTGCATGATATTCAACTGGACAAATGTTTTAACTGCCACCCTAGTGCACAGATTTAACATGTATGGAGAGGAAGAAGTATATTATTTATGCTTTCAATTTTTTTTTACAAAGTCCCTACGCATTTTCATTTGGCAGAATAAATATTTTCCCCAACTGACCTGAGAAACAAGATCAAAGAGTATCTTCCTATTGTAGAAAAGGTAACATATCAAAGAGATAAGTATGTACAGGTCTCTACAGAAAAGGCACAAAACAATACACGCTTGAGTTGTTTGCCAAAAGAGATGTTGGAATATTTGTGCAATACAAAAAAATGCTGTAAAGTGATTTAAGGACATTGATTTCATGCAAAATTGTAGAAGGAAAAGTTAGATTAAATAAGCAGCACGGAGCAGCTGAGAAAATAAGTTGCTTTCCTATCTTCAGGGCCAACTTTCCACTTCTCAAAGGAGACAAAGTGATTCTTAGTCTACTTTCGGAGGCATAAATAGAGAAAATGATAAAAATGGGATTGTATAGAGAATTTGATGAAGAGAAATTACGTAGTGAACTCGTTGGGATTCAAATGTGCAACTAATTGCACATATAAAAGCAAAGCACATGTAAAGAAGCTCAGATCCTTGGCAAATATTAGCACGGATATAGTTTTTTACTTTTAAGATACAAGAGAAAGGCAGATTGATGATGGCTACCCCTTCATATTGAACTCTGTTTTAAAAATAGGTAACTTATTCCTTAGATTTCTATAACCAATCTATCTTCATCATCACTGCTGCTTATGTCATCGTATTCCAAATGAATTGGCTTATTCGTTGCTTCCAAGTTTTGCTTTTGATTAGATGGAGTTCCAGGTAAGGATTTAGTTGAAACTGACATCTCGGTAAGTAGTCTTGATGTGAGTGAAACAGGACATAGACTTTGGCAGGTGGAAGCATGTTGCTCTTTTAAAGGAGAAGACAAATTTCTCTCCGTGAATTGTTCTGTTCTTTCTGCAATAGGAATGGGGGGCTTTAGAATAAGAACATTTTTATCCTTTGATTCTAAGTTATTACAGCCTCTGTTTGAACAAAGAAAAATAGGTCTAGTAGTCTGAGATCCAACAAAGTTACACAGCTGGTTCTTCTTTGTATCTTTGAGTTCCAAATGATAAGGTTCAGTGGAAGGTCCGTTGTACTCAGAATCTACGTCTGGGTGGTGTTCTTTTGGAAAAATTCCCAGGGAGCAACTATCTAGACTACTGCATTTTTCTGCTGATATATTATTAGATGATGGACAGGAGTATGTAGTTACTTCTGGAATTGTAGAAATTCTTTGAAGAAATAAGTTGTCACTTGAGCATTTGTTCAGTCCAGGTGTATCCTACCAGACATAAAGAAATTATCAATTCACCAGTTGCTATAAACTACTAGTTATAAGTGTGTGTGTCACTGAATTCCACTTTCTGCGGGAAGAACAATGGGAAGCATTAATACATCCTTGACCTGCTTGAGGATTTCTTCACAGCAGCTGATTGGCCATTTTGGGAAGAGAATGTTGGACAAGTTCAGTGATTAAGCCAATACGGCTGTCCTCTAGAATACTAATACCATAATCGGCAAGAATGTCTTCCCATGACATGCTTTGTGTTAAGTATCTCATGCAATTTGTCTTGTAACTGAAATATATATTTTCACATAAAATTGGATTCCATAAGAATGGCCACAACACAATAAATCTTTTAAAGAATTAATTTACTAAATATTAACAATATATTTAGCCACTAGCCATCATGAATGCTGCAACAGTACAATACCATACTATTCTTTCTTGGTACTAAATAATTAGTACAAAGCAAAATGTATTCCATTCATTATCCAATACTTTACAACTCAAGTTTTTATTCTGGCTCTTTAATCTTATCTTTCCAAGTTCTTCCTAACAATCCTCTCCATTCTAAAGGCCCTCTTCTTAATATGGCCTATTAATGCAAACATTTTATTTGATGGATTTTAAGCAGATGTTACTATTCATTTGTTAAACAATCAAATTAATAACCCACTTGTCAGATTAACATGAAGTTAACTGATTTAGCATGGGAAAAAATGTCATGCATAAATCACTCCTTACTTGTTTCATCTTATCTTCTTCTAAATGGAAAGATGCTTTATTTGTTGTGCTGTAATGTGGCTGTTGCAGATTTTTGTCATTTCCTAGTTGGAAAAAAATACTTTCATTAACAAGATTACTGATGCTGATGCACTCACTCGTTTCTCAGAGAAGTATGTGGATTTTGTTTAAATCTCATTTCACAAATGTTAATACATTTGAGAAATTAAATAATTTATAGGCATCTCTTTAATTTTGATTAGTTAGATAACTTTGCCGATTTATTCCCAAGGGATAAAAATGGGTTAAGATGTAATTCTAATTGTGACTTCAATTATGGTCTTAAGTCAAAGACTACTTGTATGTACAAATCATACAAAAAGTTTTAAAGATCAACATTTAACTGAAACCAGAACTTTTCTTGCTGGAATGAATGGCCCATCAATTAGAGAAAAAAAGGCATGGAAAATTATGTACAAAAATTGGAAGATTTTGAAATAAACCACAACAGAGGAATGCTTGGTGAAGATGACAGAACTAGCAGAGAAGGCAAAACTAGCTTGTTATATTGATTAGTGAAAAATCAATATATCTTTATTAGTGACTAGAAATGACTTATGGACTTTTTGTCAGGAAAACAAGTGTGATTTATGGGTTGAAGAGTATAAACAGTACCTGAAGAAGAAAATTATGAGGTAACCTTAAAGAGAGAATGTAAAATATAAAAGCATTTATAACCGCTGTCAAAAAAAATCTGAAGTTGCTTCTTTATAACTTTTTATTTATTTCTATTTTCTTTCTTATTTTCTCTTATTCTCTGTTCTCCTTTATTTTCTTCATTTCTAATATTGCTTGGTTAAAATTTTCCTCATTAAAATTACATTTTAAAATATAAGTACATTAAAGAGATTTGGTCCTAGAGAATTGATGAGAATCAAATTGTACAATGAATATACAAGAAAAGAATGGATTAAGAGAAGGAGGGCAAAAAAAATAATGGGAGGAGTTCACGCAATCCTTAAGAAGAGGCAGAAGTATGAAGAATAAAAAGAGTGTGATGGTGCAAGGGTGGTTTGTGGAAAGGCATAGTGAATGGTGAGGCTGAAATTATTCCACATCGCCTCTATGACTGGGAAAGGTGGAAGGAAAAAAAGCAGAAAAAGGGACAACCAGGAACAAGATGGATAACTATCCATGTGGTCACTAAAAATTGACAACTTGATGCCACATAATCAAGAAATGGTAAATGATGTAAATTAGATGTAACCCTTTGCTATCTCATGCCTATCATATATATCTTTGGCTGATTATTTCTTACTTTTTTTCTGGTTTTCCACAACTGCTTTCACCAAAAGAAAATAACGCAATGGGTTCCTATATATTCTTATGGAAAATTTGACTGGCAACAAACGTAAAGTGCCAAGAAAGTCCAATTTTTACATATCTTCTCAGAATTATAATTATTTTTATAACTATGGAAAATAAAAAATAGATTAATTTGTGTTCATAAATTGTTTTACTACTTGAATTCTAAGATCTGAAGAACACAGGATAGAATTGAGAAATCCAGTACAAAGGCTTTTTTTAAAAAAAATATCTTACTGCAGTAGAAAAGCTGTAAATTGTATGCTTAGAAATTCAAGTTGTTCTTTACCGTTAACCTATTATAAGTTCAAAGTCTCCAAGAAAAGTGACATTAAGGAGCTAATCCAGGATGACTAAAAATAATTTGGAGCTGGAAAAAAGTGAGAGAAGCAAGAGACTGACTAACACCTAAAACCAAGTCCCAAGTATAATTCAAAGTAAAACTGCACAGGAATCCTGGAGCACATGTAAACAACATAGAAATTCACAATTCACAATTAATGTCTTATAGTAGCAATCATATCATTATATTGGCTATCTGCTACCAGGCAATATAATACTTCAACATTTCAATTTGCTTTAACCTGCCTTCAGGTCAGTTTTTATTCCTGGCAACTGCCCGGGCTGGTCCCTGCAGTCGTCTTGCCAAGATTTTAAAACTGGTAGAACCTCTGGTCACAACCATAATTCGTTCCATAACTTTGGTTGTGACCTGAACCTAATTATGGAAATTTGGCACTTACAAAATAATGGCGTGGAAGGGGAAATCGGCCGTGGGGGTGAGGGGGATGTGAATTTTTTGGTCAGAACCTGATTTATCATGACTAGAGGTTCTACTGTACCTCCATAGAGCTGAGAAAGAATAACTAGCCCAAAATCAGTCTGCTGGTTTTATACCTAAAGTAAAAGTAGACCTCAAAGTCTCCTGGTTTCTAGCTTGTTGCTTTAATTACTATAACAAATTCTGTAGTTACAAATATCTTAACAATAAAGAACATAGTAAAATATGTTTAGAATGAACTACCCGGGTTCTGCAGGATGACTGTTAAATCCAAGAAGTCTGGGCAATGGCCTAAGGGTATCCTACAATCTGTTGGGATCTTTGAATGAGGGAATTTTTTAGGACAGATGTTGGAGGAAATCCTTAAAACTCCGAATAGCTTCCCTTATTCTTCCTTTTCTTTTATTCATATCCTGCCTTTCATTTAATAGATTATGGCAACATGCAGAAGAGACTCCCCCATATTTTTCCCATCAACTGTAACCTTGTGAGCAAAGATGTCTGCAAGATACACTCCAAAATGTCAAGAGGCCACAAGGATAAAATTGAAGCTGCCTGTTTTTAAAATCTGTGCTGCATTAAAAGCAGACAGAACTTTGATCATACCATGATGCCAATCATCTTGACTTTTTCAACCACACAATTCTGCCTATGTGGTATGCTGGACTGATAAAGAATGATTGTTGAAATGCAGCCATTGAGCTTTCTTTGCCTGCAATTATTTTTTTCAGGCATATTGATAAGCTTTATTCCCAGGTTAAAAGTCCATCAAAAAAGATTTTTCCCTAATTAAAGAAGAGGAAAGAATTCCTCTTAAAGAAGAGTAGAAAATATGTTAAGTTAGAGGTATAAACAAGATGATAATTGTTAGATTATGATGAAGATAATTATGATTAACAGTATTGTATTTTTGTTAGAAAATACATTAAGAGAAAAATGAATAGGTTAATAATGTTTAATTGTTTAATACAATGTAATTTTAAGATTAGATAATTAATGTGGATGATGGTGTAAAATCTGAAAGCTGTTGCACAGAGATATTTGTACCCAGACAACACACTGTATAAGGAAAGAAGAAATATTTATATGTTAAAAAAAACAAAAACACTTTTTAAAAAAAGATTATTAGATTGGCGAAAAATGTGATGATAGCCAACATCATGTAGTTTTTATTTTCTGTTGTCGCAAACTGAAATATGAATACCAGAAATAAGAGCAATTATCCATGTTGAGCAGGAAGACCCCACAAATGTTAAGGGGCAGCTGCCTTTGACTTCAGACATTTTTGTCATTTTCATTTCCCCTCCTATTTGGCTTACCTAGTGAAGTCGTTGGAAAACAATGGCATTTTCCACAATGCTCCCAAATGTCAGAAGCGTTGATGTGGGAATGCTTTCTGGAAGTCCTCAAACCCCAGCATTGCTTGCTTGACTGGTGGCTTCTGAGAAGACGATGTCTTTGTGAGTGATGATCTTCATGTCTATATAATGAAATCTAGAAATTAATATTATGTCTTTAGAACATCCCTCAAGGTCATATTTCATTACAAATGTTTAGGACTGCTTCGCTTGCCAAACTTCAGTAATCCAGAAAAAATAATATTTCTTCCAGTTTGTCTCAATGGGGAAAAATTATGTTCAATGTAACCGACTGTAATGTCTAATACAATGTAATGTAATGTTCAACTATCAGCTTATTAAATCTAACACTTGTGCATTTAAAAATACCAAAAAATATCCTACTTGAAACAAATGAAACTATTATCTCATTAAAATGTGGTTCCATTTTTATTCCTGCTTCCAAATCTCCTTGATGATATAATCTGTTTTGTCTGGTTTAAATTGGTTGTGGCACTGAAAAGCAAGTTCTCATCCAAAACCAAATAGCTGTTCTGTCTTTGGAGATTTCTATATAATTTTAACCATGCCTAATATAACATTTTTTTCCTCCTACAGAAAAAGTTTCAGCTACCAGTACATAAGCCTTATGATTTTATCCAACCTGAGCAAAAAAAGTTTCTAATGATTTTTGCATCAATTTTAAACTGGGATAAATAAAATCATTTTTTTCAAATACCAGAATTTGAATCCCATATTGATCAAATGTAAAAACAAAAATGTCCTATTTGATGCTTTCAGTATTAAATATCTGCTCTTTTTTCCCTGTTTGCGTTTCCCTTTTCCTACTAAGGTGTACATTATGGGTTTTCTGCAAGCAAAGAAAGAAAAAAAATGTAGAGATCAAATAATACAGGTAGTTTCAGCAGTTCATTTAATGACAGTTCAAAGTTATAATAGCACTGAAAAAAGTGACTTATGATCGTTTTTCACACTTACAACCTTTGTAGCATCCCCATGATCATATGATCAAAACTCCGATCACCGTTGCTGTTTCCCAAGGCCATGTGATCACCTTTTGTCACATTCTGATAAGCAAAATCAATGGGGAAGCCAGATTTTGTAACAACCATGTTACTAACTTATCAACTGCAGTGATTCACTTAACACCTGTGGCAACAATGGTCGTAAAATGGGGCAAAGCTCACTTAAATGTCTCCATTAACAACAGAAATTTTGGGTTCAATTGTGGTCATAAATTGAGGGCTACCTGTAATATGTTGGAGTGAACCAGTGGTGGGTTGCAGGCGGTATGCCCCAGTACGTGCCTGCCCGGAGCACCAGGTACCGTTCCGGTATGGTGCTCCGCAGGGCCCACCCGCCCAAGCTCCTTACCTATATTTGAGCTCTTCGGGGCTTCCACACACAGAGCACACTGCGCCTGCGCAATGCTCTGTCAAGCAACTGGAGGCACACAGAGGTGTTGCAAGAGGTAAGGACTCATGCGCATGCTGTGCGTGCATGCTGCACGCGTTCATGTGCTGGACGCCGGGCCCCGTTACACTGTACCGGTTGCAACAGGATCCAGAACCCACCATTGGCGTGAACATTTTATTTTCCTGGAGAGTGAGGTCCAATTGGCAAAAACCACTGAACAGCTTTTTTTTTGTAATTTTTAACAGAAATAAAGTTTATCTGCAGAAAATGCAATATATATAACTGGCTGGCTACATTCTACCAAGAGAGGTTCAAGAAAAGTATGTTTAGAGAACAAAGGCAGGGAAGAAGCTCTTGACATTAGCTACCTTATAAATAAAGAGGCGGCAAAACAACAAATATGAAGGCAGAGGAATTTCCTAATTCTTTAATCATGGGTTGCATGTGATCAAATGTATGCCATGATGCAAAAGCTAAAACCTAATTACTTATAGCACAAGTAGGACAGGATTTCTGTCATGATGTTACGGTGTACTGATTATTGTATTGAAGATGTCTGCCCTCTTGCCCCTTGACATCAATAAATTATGAAGACATCTGAAGTCACAACATAATAGTTAATCCAGGAACTTAATTTAAGACTTTTAAAGATTAGTAGATTACTTGTGTCAGTGTTAGTACTACTATAGCACAGTCCATGTAAATGTCCTACTTCTTTCTAAAATAAAATTTGGAGAAATTCTCCTCACAAAGAGTTTCCACCATATCGTTCAGTTATGAATGTTATTCACAATCAAAGGAAAATTGTTCTTCTAAGACTAAACCCCCATTTCTTACCGCTTGGGGTTAATCTTCACTTTTATCCTTTTTAAGTTTCTCTTTTCTCTCCTTTTGTAAAGTTTTTCTTTTTTCCTTTCGAGTTCTGGCATGCTTTTGGAGACTTCCTGAGCATCAGTGTTTAAAATGTACTTCTGTAAATTCAAAAAATGAATAACATTGCATGACAAAAATCAAAATGTAAACAACGGCATACAAAACAAAAATAGTGGAACAGTTTGTCTCCTCTCAAAAGAATGTTGGATATAGTTGTGATTGTTTTGTTATGTGCTTGGTTACCATTTTGTATTTTGTATTTATATATTGTAATGTTTATTGTAAAGACTTTTCCCCTTCTTTGATTTCTTCTTTGTTCTTATGCTGTATACCCCCCAGAGTCATAGTGGTTGACTTGACAGCCTTATAAATCTTATAAAGAAAGAAAACATCTCCATCTTATGAGAGCCACCGTGGCAGTACAATGCTGTCCTTATAATGCCAGAAAAGACACATTTATTCTTCCAATTTTTAAATGTGTTTTCTTTTATTTTAATTACAGCACATATTATTTATAAATATCTCATTTTTGCAAAAGAATGAGAATGGTTCTCTGCTTTCCAGAAGCGCATCCAGAGGATCAGAACGATGGGAATCTATCTTCCCAGTGCTGCACACTTTCTTCTGAGGTGCAAACTGCAAACTGATTATGGAAGAAATGGGGTATTCAAAGCAGTGGTGAAATCTAAAAAAATTTCCTACCAGTTCTGTGGGTGTGGCTTGGTGAGGGGTATCATATGACTGTGGGTGTGGCTATGTAGTCATGTGACTGGGGGATCAAAATACAGAAACTCACTTTAACAATATCCTGCTGGAGCAGGGGGTTGGACTAAATGACCTCCAGGTCCCTTCCAGCCATGGATTGCTGTGCTCTTTCAAGGTATCCTCTGATGCTGCGCCTAGTGCCAGGTCTGTGGTCCTTCCTCCCTCTCCTTTTTCCGCCTTCCCTTCCCCTCTCTCTCTCTCTCTCTCTCTCTCTTTCACAGCACACCCCACCCCATGTTTTTGGCCTAGCAGGCCTCAGGGAAGCCTCCTAGGAGCAAAATTGGACCCCAAATGCTTAAAAAAAAGTTCCTACCATCACATAGCACATTGTCAGATTG